GTCATCATGGGCCTCTCGCCCATCCTGGGCAAGGACAACACCATCGAGCACCTCCTGCCCCTCTTCCTGGCGCAGCTGAAGGATGAGGTAAGGGCACCAGACGGGCACCGAGCGCTGGGTGTGGGGGGCTGGCAGGAGGCTCAGCCAACCACCCAGATGGGCCTGGAGCCTCCTGTAGCCTCGGCAGGCACAACTATCGATATGACCGCTGCCCTGGGGTTGACCGACAGACAGCCTTAGGGAGAACTGCTGCAGTGTCCTGGCAGCCCTCTATGGGAGCAGATCCCCGGGCCTTTTTTCTGAGGTGCGTGTGGGTGTCCCACCAACCTGTAGGCTGGTGGTCCAGCTCGGACTGTGTGACAGGGCCCTTTCCTGGACGGGGTAGCTGTTCTGACTCCGTGTCGGGGCTGCCTGCAGGGTTGACAGAGCAGGTCTCCCCAGCCAGTGACCGGGCGTGTCCCCAGGGCTGACTAGCTCGTTGGCAGTCGAGCAGTTGGCCGTCTCATCACAGAGCCTCCTTTCCTGGATATTCATGCCAAACCCAGTCCCCCACCGAGCCCATTCCTGCTCACAGTGACCCTGCGGAGCCAGTGGATCGGGCCACAGAGTAGGGGCCTCAGAGGATGACCAACCAGATGCAGGATTCAGGGCAAGAGAGAGTTTGGGCAGAGCGTATGTATGTGTTGAATACAGACTTCACCTTCAGAGGGACTCCCTCCCCTTAAACAAAGCAGTGTGTAGGTGTGGGTATGTGTCTGTGTGAGGGGTGGGGTGGGTGATGGGAGCGGGGACTAGAGCCCTATCCTCTAGTAAGGCATTGATTGAAATTGCAGTCTATTCTAATCCTGCCTCGGCAGCATACCAGCCTACTCCAAAATGGGGCTGTCAGCACGGCCGAGGGGAGACCTGTGGTCCTGCGACTGTGTTAACTCTCACTGCACTCAGGGAGCCTGGGAGAGGTTGAGCTGGGACCAGGCTGTGGACACGGTGGGGGAGGCTCCTGGGTTGTTCAGGAGGCAGCAGGGACTATGGGGGGTGGGGGGGGAGCCAGTTTTCAGGCTCCCTGGTATGGGCTTGGTGGCGACTGGGCAGGTGGTAGGACCTGTGGGTGGGCGGCTTGTTTGTGTAGCTCTGCTTGCAGAGGCCTGAATCAGTCCTCCAATCAGTACGTCCCATCTCTGCCCTCTCTGTGGGTGGCCATGCACACAGTAGGATAGCAAGGGGAAGCAACCAAAAGTGTCGAATCACATTGCTGATTTCCTTCACTGCACACACATACACACACAGCTGCTGCACTATGAAGTTTTCAAAGCACACTGTTCAGACGCCCCCCCCCCTGTGAATGTGTCACATGTGAGGGGATGTCTCCATCCTACCTTTTAAGGAGCATCTGGCTGCACTTCTTCCAAGACGTGTGTGGGCGCTTCTGGCGGTCCACGCCACCGTAACACGCATGCTGGCTGTGCGCCCCTCGTGTCTGCAGAGCGCAGGCAGACTCGGCCCGGCCTCTTCAGATGAGGAGGGCCACCGGCCTGGTTTTAGAGGCACGCCAGATACTTTAAGGCTGTTCGGTTAGGGTAAAATATTCAGGACAAAGCACTGGCCAGTTCCTCCTCCCCAACGCCGGTAACGTGGCAGCACTGACACCTGCCCTGTTGTACAACCCCCACCACTGCCAGAGCCCCTGCCCCTACTCTCAACTCCTTGTGCCCAGTGTTCAAAACCAGACTCACTGCCACTGGGTCGATGCCCTGTGGGTTTCTGAGACTAACTCTTTATGGGAATAGAAAGCCCCATCTTTCATGGAGCGGATGACGGTTTCAAACTGCTGACCTTGCAGTTAGCAGCCTAACACAGAAGGCGGCGAGCTGTCAGTCACCAGGGTTCCTTTTCCTCGTCTCTGTTCGCCTGTTGATGTTTTACCTGAGTGGGATCGCATAATCCCTGCCACCTCGTGACCAGCTTGCTTCATGAGCGTGTGCCTGGGCTCCGTCTGTGAGGGGCCGTGCCTTGGGACTGTGTTTCTCCGGAAGGCCGAGCTGTGTCCACCATGTGTGTGGATGGGCCGGCTGCTGGTGGACATGCTGGCTCTTTCCCACTGAGCTGTTGGGACGAGCGCTGCAGTGGACGTCTGTCGCCCCGCGAGTCTGTGTGCTCCTTCCTGCTCTCGGGGTTTGTTGGGGTCTGCCTAAGAGTACGAGTGCCAGGTCACATGGGCATCCTGGATCCTGGGTGGCACAGTAGGATAAGTGTCGGACTGCTAACTGGGAAGTCGCCAGTTCAAACCCACCAGCTGCTTTGGGGGAGAGAGCTGAGTTAACCTGTTCTGTAAAGACTTGTAGCCTGGGGCCCTGAGGAGCAGTTCTCTGCCCGCCAGGCCTCTCTGAGACAGATGTCACCCTGACGGCTGTGGGCCTGTGGTTTTGGCTTCAGCTCGGAAGACGCGCCGAGCTTTTCTGCATGTGCCTTGCTGACAGAGTGTGGCTCCTTGTCCACGCCTCCTGGCCCTCGGGTCTGCCTGGGGTTGGGGACCCAGTTGGTCGAGTTCTTTCACCTTCCTGCTGTTCTGCCCCCCCATGGCCATCTTGTGCCGTCTCAGAGCCCCTGCCCGCCTCTCTCCCACAGTGCCCCGAGGTGCGGCTGAACATCATCTCCAACCTGGACTGCGTCAACGAGGTCATCGGCATCCGGCAGCTGTCCCAGTCGCTGCTCCCCGCCATCGTCGAGCTGGCCGAGGACGCCAAGTGGCGGGTGCGGCTGGCCATCATTGAGTACATGCCCCTGCTGGCGGGACAGCTGGTAAGGCAGGCGACCCCGGCTTTGTGGGGCGGGAGCAGGAGGGGGGGCCACTGCCTGGGGAGGGAGACACCAAGTTCAGCTAATCATGGGCAGGGCCTTGGGGGCACAGTGCCCACTCGAGGACCATGGGGAGTCCAAGGACGGGCTGCAGACAGTGAGGTTTGACAGGATGGGCAGAGCCCCTGTGGAAGGAACCTAGTCTGTTTAGGTGGCTAGTTTCCCTGAGTGTCGATGTGGCTCCCTCTGCCCTCTCCTGCAGGGGGTAGAGTTCTTCGATGAGAAGCTCAACTCCTTGTGCATGGCCTGGCTGGTGGACCACGGTGAGTGCCTGCAGCAGGGGGGCAGGGATGGGCCAGCGCCCTGCCTATGGCGTCCTGGATAGACACACTGGGGCCCCTCCAGGCCAGGACCCTGAGAATATATCACTGACATCTCTTAGCCCCACGTTGATGAGGTAGCTGGGGTTGTCGCCTGATCCTCAGGGCGCTGTGGGAAGTGCCCTGCTTCAGGCACCGAGCAGAGTGAGTCCAGGCAGACCCAGGGAGGGCACCAGCTCCGTTCCAGACCACGGAGGTCAGTGAGTGAGGGGAGCACACAGTCAAGGGCATCCTTCGAAGGCTCGTGCTCCCCTGGGCAGAGAAGAGGCCTGCTTACGCGACCCTGCACCTGTGAGGCATGCGCAAGAAGTATGAAGGATTGCCAGAGTGACAGAGATGGGCATTGAGTGGGAACTGTCGGAACAAGGTTGGCAGCGGTCTTGCTCAACTTGCAGGGACGCCCCAAGCCTCAGTGTGCATAAAAAGCACCATCTGCAAAGCCCAGTGAAGCGATGGGGCCCGGTGTGCCTGCACCCGGTTCTCACCGACCTGCTAGGCACACACCTGTCAGACGCCCAGGGCCCACCTCTGAGATAGGCCCCTAGTGGAGTCCTGCCCCTTGGCCCCTCGCAGAGAGAGGCCTGCGGCTGAGGTGGCCCAGCCCCTACATCGCTCAGTCCGTAGTCGGGACTCTAATCCTTCCTCCCTATCCACACCTGCCCATCCTCCCTGGACTTAAACCATCCTGCTTACCCATCTCCCTCTGCTGCAGTCTACGCCATCCGCGAGGCGGCTACCAGCAACCTGAAGAAGCTGGTTGAGAAGTTTGGGAAGGAATGGGCCCACGCCACCATCATCCCCAAGGTCTTGGCCATGTCTGGGGACCCAAACTACCTGCACCGCATGACCACGCTCTTCTGCATCAACGTGAGCACCCCTATTCCCCAAGGAAGAGACACCTGGCTACGTACATGTGGGGCGCAGAGATGGGTCTTAGGAACCCAGTGCCAGAGGTGGGAGCTTCTAGAGCCAGGGTCTCGGGACCCTTCCTGGGTAGGGACTCGAGTGGTGGGAGACTCGGGCTTAGGGAGCTGTGAGCCGTGCTGCGGTGATTGCAGACTCCTGTGTGGGGAACAGACTGGCTGTGGGCAGGCTCGTGCGCCAGACTAGCTTTCCATTCCAGCTCTTGCCATGTGGCGGTAGCTGGGACCTCGCGAAACTGAGCTTTAGTTCTCTCCCATGGACGTCGTTCACGCTTACAGGGTGACCGAGCCCCTCTCACCTCAGAGTAGGACAATTAGGTTGGCTCCACACCCGGGTGCTTAGAATAGTCTGGTAGGAGGAAGCGCTCCCATGGGCTGGTTTTGTCACCTTCCTCTAACTGTACTCACCGATAAACCAGGCACATAACCAGGCGTTGCAGGGTGGGATTTCAGAGTAAACACAAACAAGTGTTGTGCGCCTCTCTTCCCGGGCAGACTTTGCAGACCATCCCACAGGAAAGGAGAGCTCCCAGGAACCAGGGCTGCATTTCTAGACTGAGTTTAAGGGGCTTGTGAGGTTGGGCACTTAGAGCTGGACAGTGGTAAGGGTTTAGGGAGCTAATGTGCTTCCTCCAGGAGAGGGGCAGCTGGACTTGAGTCCCCCATACTGCTGTTTCCCCGCAGGGCCAGTGATCGCTGAGGTGGCCTGGCCAGGGGCATAGGACTGAGACTTACACTCGAGGTAATCTCTCCTTTGCTGCCACTCCGGCCCTTAGGTCTTGTCTGAGGTCTGTGGACAGGATATCACCACCAAGCACATGCTGCCCACCGTCCTGCGAATGGCTGGAGACCCGGTTGCCAATGTCCGCTTCAACGTGGCCAAGTCCCTACAGAAGATAGGCCCCATCCTGGACAACAGGTGAGGCCCGGGCCTGCCCCAGCCACCAGCAGGCTCTTGTGCTGCTGGGCCGAACCCCCGAGGGTTGGAGACCCACTGCTGCTCTTTGCCTGCTGTGTGCCCTTTCCCTAGGCCTCCGTCTCCTTCAGGGTAGAGTAGGCACTCATCGGGCCCACCTTACAGATTGAAGGCAGAGGGAGTGGGTCTCTGTACTAGGAGTGGGCACTAGAACGGTCCCCAGCAAATTCCAGGGTGGCACAAATGGTTCCTGTGCTTGCTGCTAACAGGGTGGTCCAAGTCCACCCAGAGGCTCTGCAGAGACAGGCCTGGCTGGCTGCTTCCCAAAACAGCCGTAGACAAACCTTGGAGCACAAGTCTGCTCTCTCATGATCACCACCATGAGTTGGACTGGTGGTGGAGGTTGTGTGTGCGTGCGCGCATGCGCACACAGACTAGTAGTGGCATCAGTTGTCCTCCAACTTCAGCGTTCCAGCTCTCTCCTTCCCTGTCTGCCGCAGTTGGAGGACCCCTGCTCTAGAAGGTTCTTAGTCCAGCTCCTTGATTAGGAGACGCTTCCCTTACCCTCTTTTTTTGTAAGCCGGTACTCCCGCCAGAATCATGAACTGACCAATCCCTCAGTTATCACAGGGCTGTCTCTCGGCCCACTTCCCCATTCCTCCTCCTCTAAGCTGCCGAACTGTGTACGTGGGGGAGGGCTGCTCTTGCCGTCTTCAACAGTCGGCTGTGTGAACACGGAGGAGGGTCCTGTGTGTCAGTCCTGAGACTCCACCCACCTCCCACTCGGTGCTCAGGGCCTTCTGTCTTCCAAGCTGCCCCAGCTGACATGCCCGCTCCTTCCTCCCTTGCCTTCCAGCACGCTGCAGAGTGAGGTCAAGCCCGTCCTAGAGAAGCTGACCCAAGACCAGGATGTGGACGTCAAGTACTTTGCTCAGGAGGCTCTGACTGGTGAGGCGTGGAGACCCTAGGGAACATGGTGGGGCTCGGGGCGGGGAGCAGCAATGGGAGACTGTTCTTGATTCTCCGCCCCGTCTCGTCCTCCAGTTCTGTCTCTGGCCTGAAGCTGAATGAAGAGCCCACACTGGCCTTGGGTGTCTGCCTACCCGTGCCCCTCCCTCGGGGAGGCAGTCGGGGGCCGTTGGCTGCCGCTCCCCGTGCATGGTCTGACCCCAGGCCCCTTCCCCCAGCACGACTCGTCCCCTCCCCAGCCCGGGACGACTCCCAGGGGGGCTGGGTGAACACGAGGCAGGACAGGTGAGACCCTGGGAGGCAAGGCCCCGCCCAGCCAGGGAGAGACTCAAGCTTCCCAGGTCCCTGGCTCTTGCTGCTGCACCAAGGACCCTCTCCTGTCAACTTCTCCACCTCCCTCCCCTCCGTGATTTTTGTGTGTCAATTGCGTTGTTTTTATTTTATTCTCCCCCTCCCTCCCTCCCCCTTTTCACAGACAAATAAAGGTCTAGAAATAGCCGGTCCTCTGGTCTTAGTCACGGGCCACTGCCTGAGACATCGTCTTTGTGTCTGTTGCGGTTAGTGCTGTGACCGGTCCTACAACGGCTGAGACACCGCCTGGTCCCGCGTCATCCCCATGTTCCAGCCCACTGTTGGCCGACACCGTGTCAGTCCCTCTCGTTGGGCGCCTTTCTCTTTTCCGACCCTCGCTTGGTAAAGGGGCGGCCAGCCACAAAGAAGGCCCTCAAGGAGATGGACCGACAATTGAAACACTGACCTTGTGGTTGGCAGCCTAACTCTTAGCCGACTGCCACTAGCACTTTCTTTCACGCCCATCTGGGCATTGTGGGCGTCACACAGCCCGTTTCCAGAAGGTCCAGACGAGGTCATCCACAGCACTGCCGTGGTCTGGCCATCGTGGCCTGACACACCACCCCCAAATGTAATGACTCAATGGTGATGACTGTTTCCCACAACGTGCTTTCTTCCGCCTATTATGCCTGGCTCCTCAGCCAGGGCCTGGTGGGGTATTCTGCCCCAACAGCATAGCAAGACCTCTCTGTTGGCCTAGGCCTCTAGAACAGAGGCTCTGAAGGGAACACGCCTCAGTGTGCAAGCATTGTTCAGCCTCTGCGTGCATCACGGACCGAAGGCGTCACAAGGTCAGGCCCGGTGGCAGCGTGGGGAGGGAACATGCAAGGCCAGAGACGGTCCCACCAGTGTCAGTCTGTCCTTTGTGGCTCAGGTGGCAAACGTAAGCATTCCATGGGAACAAGTTGAGGATTGGAACTTGATTCCGGAAGCTAGAACCTGTCACAGAGCCATCCTTGTTGAAGGGGAGAGATTGGAGTGAGGCCAAGAGACCAGAGGCTTCCCTGTAAGAGAGACGAGGTTTGAGAGGAAGCAGGGACCGTGGAGGATGGCAGAGTTCCAAAAGGGTGCGAATCCCAAGGTTAGGACTTGGTGACACTTGACAGGTGCGAAAGGCCTGTATTTCACCTTGACAATCAGGATCAAGCTTTACCTGTCTCATCACTTCCTCCTGCTTCCAAGAGACACTAGGTTCCTGCCAACCGTCCACACATCTCCGGGCTTCTAATGGTAACGAACCTCTAGTGGGGAACTAACTTCCTTCTCACTCCAGAGAGGAGGAATAGGTTCTGTACTTGTTTGAAACCACGGGCACAAACCAAAAACCAAACTCACTGCCCTCGAGTCAGTGTGAACTCACAGCGAGCCCCTGTGGGTTTCCGAGACTGCAACTTTATGGGAGTGGGGAGCCCAGTCTTAACTCCCTCGTAGTTACTGGTGGTTTCAAACTGCTGACCATGCGGATCACAGCCCAGTGCAAAACTACTGCACCACCAGGGCTGCGGGCCTGCTTATACGTGGGGCTGCTTTCATGTGCGGAGGGGTTCCCCCCTCCCATTGCTGTGGTGATGAGCCCAATGTTGGGAAAATCCATGGAAAACCATGAGTGAAGCTCACCATCTCCACGTGGGCAGTCAATCTCTAAGAACTTGGTAACGAGCATCTCACAACATTTTTAAGCACACTCAACACACTTGTGCTCACCGCTGTGCTATTAGGTGCCGCAGAGTTGATTATGACTCATCGCGACCCAGTGTCCAAGGGAACCGCCTGGTTCCACAAACACCCTCACAATGGTATTTGAGCCCACTGTGCCAATCCATCTCATCTCATCTTTCACTGCCCCTCTATGATGTCCTCCAGGGACTGCTCCCTCCTAACATGTCCTGAGTCTGAGACCCACTCTCCATCCTTGTTTCTAAGGGACATACTTCAGATCGCTTTGTCGTTTTAACAGTGTTCTTCAGCGCCACAATCCAAATGCATCAATTCTTCGGTCCTCATGCCGTGTCTACCTTTCACCTGCCTATGAGCAACTGAATATACCATTGGTTTGGGTCATTCACACCTCAGTCCTCAAAATAACACTGCCACGGCTACCACGGAAAAGAAAACCCGTTGTAAGTAGTAAAAGTGGGCCCAAGCCTAGGCAGCTCAAACCTTCCAGGGGCCACTGTAAATGATAAGCAGAATTTGGACTGCCCAGAAAAGTGGGCACCATTAATCCCTATGTTGTTCAAGGCTCAACTGCTATTCAGCATAGTTGTTGTGTGTTGAGTACCAGCCCCCACAATCGAATGGGTGTAAGGGGTGGTTGTGTAATCGAGGGGTAAAATTAAAGAGACATCAGACAAGATAAAGTATGCAATTAATGCTCGCTTCTAAGACGGCCATGATCTCAGCAGCCAGGTCTGCGCGGAGTGAGAGAATATATTTCCAATAACAGCTTAAATACACTTACATCAACAGGAAGGGGTTGTATCATAGGCATATGTGCACTAGGAGGGGGACGAGCTAAGGGTGTACATGGAATAGGAAGGGAAGGCAGTAGGGGCAAAGGTGACAATATGGGCGGACTCTAAAGTCAAGATGGCAGCCTAACCTTGATTCTCCTTGAGTTGGCTTGACCTTGTCTTTGGGCTCTCCTTGAGGGGAACAATCTACTGTTTTTATCAGCAGGGAGTGGGCCCCACTTAGGGTGAGACAGACTATAGGGTCTGCTTGCTGTAGATGACTGATAACTTTTAAGCAGTTGACCTCTAAGTGTATAGCCATTGGCCATGTGTTAGCAAGCTGCAGCACCTTAGCTTTGGCATATCATATGGGGGGTTACAAGTGGCCAATAAACATGAGAAAATGTTCCCGATCATTAGCCTTAAGAGAAATGCAAATCAAAACAACTATGAGATACCACCTAACACCCTCAAATATAGCCCAAAAAATCAGAAAGCAACAAGTGTTGGAAGGGCTGTGGGGAGACAGGAACTCATCCACTGCTGGTGGACCTGTAGATGTGTACAGCCACTATGGAAATCAATCTGGCGATTTCTCAAACAGATGGCAATTGAATTACCATAAGACCCAGCAATCCCCCTACTGGGCATATATCCAGAAGAGGCAAGAAACAAACCACGGCCAGACATCTGCACTCCACTGTTCATTGCGGCACAGTTCACAATCGCAAGGAGTTGGAAGCAATCCAAGTTTCCATCGACAGACGAATGGATTAAAAAACTATGGTACATACATACAACAGAGTACTATGCATCACTAAAAAGCAGCGATGAACGCATGAAGCATATCGCCGCATGGGAAGAACTGGAGGAAATAATGCTAAGCGAAGTAAGCCAAGCACAAAAGGACAA